ATCCGGTGTTAAGTGTGAGGAAGGTTCATGGAGGGCCAGAGGACAGCATACGGAATGCTTCGCGACATGTCAGGGACCTGGCACCGCGGGTGTCCGTTCTGTTGGGAACAAAGAGCACGTGTCCAGTCATCAGGCCGTGAAGTGGTCGACTGATAATTTGGGCATCTAATTGGAAGTCTGGAGTCAGCGGGGGATGGTCTCCCCCAGGTCGGAATAGGTCTTTCTGTCCCCTCCGGGAGGACAGACCGCAAGGAGCAGGAAAGGGAGCCTGGAGGAGGCGGCTCCTCTAACCCAGCAGTGGTGGGGGTGGAGTCCATTTTTAAAGAAGGCCATGTGGATTGCTGGATGTCGTACGGGAGGGATATAAAGGAGGAGTTGGGGACAACCCAGGGGTTTTGGTCTGAGCAGCTGAGGACTGGGTGGGAGGTTAATTTTCCTTTGGAATATCCGAAGTTGGTTTGGCCCTGGCCAGAGTCTGAGTCATTTCTGAGTTGAGTGAGTGGAGGCTGAAGGGGGCAGCTGGACACACAGCTCTGGAAATCTGGGGAAGGGTCCAGGATGGAGACATTTCAATGGGCAGCTCTTGCGTGGACCAAGGTGCAGTCACGGATGTCGTGAAGGGGCAATGCAAGGTTTGGTGGCAGTGGTGACAAGGTCTAGGGTGTTTTTTTTCTGCAGCTCCGGACAGGGGTCGCAGGGCCCTGCAGACCAGGTGAGGGTGAGGAGCGATGCGGGGTGCGGGTGATGCTGAGTGCGGGAATGGAAGGGGGAGCTGATGGTCCCCGGACCCTGGCTGGGGACTTCTGGGTGCAGCAGGAGCCACGTTTGGCTGTGTCTTGGAGACACGATGTGGGAGACCCCAGGGGATTCGCTTGGCAGGAAGGATGGAGTTGTGCAGGCCTGGCCCAGAGCTTAGATGGCACTTTTCTGCCACCCCTCCCTGCCGCCTGTCGCTGCTGAGAGCTGGCCCCGTGGGTAACGGGGGGCAGGAGGCAGCGGGCGGCGCGGACGCCGGGGCCTGGTGTCCCCCGCCAGCGGGGAGCTGTGGAGTGGGCGGACGTGGGGGGGTCCTATGAGGAGTCGGGTTGTGGGGTCCCGGGGCAAGGCTGCTCCTGGCTTCATCGGTGTGAATCCTGACAGGTGGCTGTGACCTTTGCGGACGTGGCCGTGAGCTTCTCGCGGGAGGAATGGCGCCTGCTGGATGAGGCGCAGAGACGCCTGTACCTCGCTGTGATGCTGGAGAACTTTGCACTCGTGTCCTCGCAGGGTAAGGCCCTCTCGCTCCCCTGTGACCTGGACCTGACTTTGCGGTTCCCCTTTCCCCCTGTCCCCAGGGGGCGCTGTCCTCTGTCCTGGGGGAACAAGTTTGGTTTGTCCACAGCGCCCTGTCCTCTCCTGCAGCCCCAGGACCTGCCGCACCGAGTGCTCCCCCGGGAGGGTGCGAGGTCGTAGTCTGGCCGGGAGCCCAACGGATTGCACCTCGTGTGCCGTCTCCCTGGCTGGGTCACGTGTCAGATAGATGACACTTCTTGGGCCCAGGTTTTGTTTCTTTGTGTGACATTTCCTCGTTTCTGCCCACAGTGCAAGCGCAGGCACTGGCAGGCATTACTTATCAGGACCGCTGGCTGTTTTCCAAGACTGTCCTGTAGGGTCCTATTTGCGTTTAGATATCTTTTCCTTTTTCTAGCCTACTTGAGGTGTAATTGTCAAATAATGTGTACGTATTTAAAATGCGTCATTTGTGAAATGATTAGTACAGTCAAGTGCATTAGCACACGCTGCACCTCACATGTCGGCTTTTTTCCCCGCATCCACTGGGGGTGTTGGAACATGTCCTTGGATAAGTGGCGATGACTGTTTTTATTTTTTCATATGTGAGAGAACGCTTAATACCTAGTGTCTTTAAAAATATTGAGTAAACAATACAGCATCTTCAACTGTCAGCACCACGTTTTACATTAGATACTCAGAGCTTAATCTTACAACTGGCTGGTGTCTGCCCACTTCCCCTCACCTCTGCCCCTGGCATTCTGCTCGTTTGCATGGTTCAATTTTCTTTTTTCTTAGGATTCCACATATAAGTGATACCGTACAGTATTTGTCTTTTTCTGTCTGCCTTATTTCACTTTGCCCTGTGCCCTCCAGGTTCATCAGTGTTGTCAAAAATGCATGATTTTCTTTTTCCTTGCTGAATGATACTCTATTGTGTCTCTGTGCCAAGCTTTACTTACCCATCCATCTGTAGACAGATACGTAGGTTGTTTCTGTATCTTGGCTCTTGTGAATAATGCTGCAAGAAACATGGGAACACAAATATCTCTTTGAGGTACTGATTTTATTTCTTTTGCATGTCGTATATGCAGCAGCAGGATTGTCGGACCATGTGGTAGTTCTGTTTTTAAACTTTTGATGAACTTCAGTTACTGTTGTCCTTAATGGCTGTCCCGAATTAGATTGTGGCAAATGGGGTACGAGAGTCTCCTTTTCTCTCCATCCTGACCAACACTTGTTATCTGTTGTCTCTTTGATAATAGCCATCCTAACTGGTATGAGGCGATATCTCACTGTATTTTGAATCTGTAGTTCCCTGATGTTAGTGATGTTGAACACTTTTTCATAAATCTCTTGGCCATTTGTGTGTCTTTGGATAAATGTGTATTTAGGTTCTTTGCCCATTTTTAATTAGATTGTTTTTTTGTTGTTGAGCTGTGTGAGTTCTTTATATATTCTGGATATTAGTCCCTTATGAGATATTTCTTTTGCAAAAATTTTCTCTTATTCCTTAGATTGCCTTTTTTCATTTTATTGATTGCTTCCCTTTGCTGTGCAGAAGCTTTTTGGTTTGGTGTATTCCCACTTGTTTATTTTTTGCTTTCTTTGTCTGTGCTGTTGGCATCATATCCAAAAACTCATCCACCACTCCATTGTTAAAGGGCTTTTTCTCTATTCTGAAAGTTTTACTATTTCAGGTCTTACATTTATTTTTACATTCAAGTTCCTTTTCATTATTGTGAGTCGTGTAAGATTGGGTTCCAGTTTCATTTTATTTGGCCCATAAATATCCAGTTTTCCCGTCACTATTCAATGAAGAGACTACCGTTTCCCCATTTCGTGTTTTCGGTTCCCTAATCAACCTGTGCGCTCTCTTCTGTTCCATGAATCATATTTTTTATGCAGATGCCACAGTGTTTGACTGCTTACAGCTTTGTAATGTTTTGAAATCAGGAAGTAGAATTCCTCCAGCTTCGTTCTTTTTCACAAGATTGCTTTGGCTATTGATTTTGTGTGTGTGTGGTTCTATGCAAATTTCAGGATTGGTTTTTCTATATTTGTGAAAAGTGTCCTAGGAATTTTGATATGAGTTGCATAGAATTCATACGTCATTCTGGGTAAAATGGACATTGTAACAATATTAATACTTCCAATCCAAGAACACTTGATATCTTTCCATTTATTTGTGACTTCTTCAATTTTTTCACAGTTTATCATTTTCAGAATACAGAGCTTTCACTTCCTAGGTTAAATTTATTCCTGAGTAGAATTCTATCTGGTCCTGGGTTTTTCCCTGTTGGGAGATTTTTGATTACTGATTCGATATCCTTACCAGTTATAGGTCTCTTCAGATTTTCTAGTTCTTCCTCATCAGTTTTGATCCTTTGTATGTTTCTAGGAATTTATTCATTTCTTATAATTATCCAATTTGCTGGAATTTAAGTGTTCATACTAGTGTCTTCTGATTGATCGTATTACTCTGATAACAGTTGTGATGTTCCTTTTTCACTTCTGATTTTGAGTCATTTCTTGTGAGTTTAGCTGTCAGGTTTTTTTTATCTTTTCAAAAAATAGAGTCTTAGTTTCATTGATCTCTTTTGTTTTTCTTGTTTCTTTTTCAATTATTTATGCTCTGAGGTTGGTTTTGCTACCTTCTGCATTCTTTGATCTTAATTTTTCTTACACCCTGAAGTATATATAAAGGGACGATATTTGAAATCTTTCTTTTTTTGTTTTAACTTGTGTATAATTATTTTTTAATTAAGTTTATTGGGGTAACATTGGTTAATATAATTATATAATTGTCAGGTATACATTAAAATTTGACATCTATATATTCCACTGTGTGTTTAATACCCAAAGTCAAGTTTCCTTCAGCTACCATATATATTTGATCCACCTTACCCACTTCACCCTCCCCATTCCCCTCTGTATTTGACTGCCTTACCCACTTCACCCTCCCCCTTCCCCTCTATATTTGACTGCCTTCACCCCATCTACCACCCCTCTTGTCCGCTACCCCCTACCCTCTGGTAACCATTAGTCTATTTTTCATGTCCATGAGTCCATGAGTCTCTGTTTGTTTGTCCAGTTCCTCCGTTGCTTTTAGATTTATGTCCCACATATAAGTGATATCATGTGCTTTGCAACTTTTTCTGTCTGGCTTATTTTGCTTAGCATGATTATCTCGAGGTCCGTCTATGTTGTTGCAAACGGACTATTATGGCTGAGTAATAGTCCATTGTACATATGTACTACAGCTTCTTTAGTCAGTCATCTATCGTAGGACACTTCCATGTCCTGGCCACTGTGAATAGTGCTGCTATGAACATTGGTGGACAAATATCTTCATGAATACGAATTTTCAAGTTTTTAGGGTGAATATCCAGTAGAGGGATTGCTGGATCATATGGTAGATCAATTCTTACTTTTCGAGCAAACTGCATACTGTTCTCCATAGTGACTCTACCAATTTGCAGTCCCACCAGCAGTGTATGAGAGTTTTTATTTCTCCGCATCCTCTCCATCATTATTACTTGTCCTGGTGATTATAGCTACTCTAACAGGTGTGAGATGGTATCTCGTTGTGGTTTCGATTTGCATTTCCCTAATAGCTAGCGGTGTTGAGCATCTTTTCATATATTTGTTGGGTATTTGTATGTCCTCTAAGGAGAAGAGTCTGTTCAGGTCCTCTGCCCATTTTTTGATTGCATTGTTTTTTTGTTGTTGTTGAGTTGTATGATTTCTTTGTATATTTTGTATATTAGGCCCTTATCGGAGGCATTGCTTGCAAGCATATTTTCCCATTCGGATGGTTGTTTCTTTACCTTGTTGACTATTTGTTTTGCTGAACAGAAGCTTTTTTATTTTGATTGACATAGTCCCATTCATTTATTTTAGCTTTTACTTCCCTTGCTTTTGAGGTCAAATTCATAAAATCCTCTATAAATCCAAGGTCCTTGAGTATAGTTCCAGTGTTTTCTTATATGGATTTTATTGTTTCAGGTCTTATATTTAGGTCCTAAATCCATTTGGAGTTAATTTTGGTGTGTGATGATAGACAACAGTCTAATTTCATTCTTTTGCAGATGGCTTTCCAGTTTTCCCAGCACCATTTATTGAAGAGGCTTTTCTTTCTCCACTGTATGT